GCATCATGTAGGCATGGCAAGCACATCACGGCAAACAGTGATAAAAAGCATTGATAATATGCACAGAAATAAAGGGTGGGAGGGCGGGGACACTGGTGAGACTCAAAACTGACTGAAGAAGTCAGGAAAAGAAGCGACAACAAAGAACACACCAGATGCCATATTTGCAACTGAAAATATTTCGCGAGAAATCATTTCTCGCCTATCTCGCTGCGCTCGGCCGGCGAGAAATACAACATTACTATCTAAGTATACCTCTGAAAAATTTGAATGAAATCTATGGGGCCATTATGTTTGACGATAATGTTTTGCTCCACTGCACACGTCAGCCAATATTGGATTCAGTAAACTGTGCTCCAAGGTACTTTACATTGATTCAATATCGAATATCTAATGTTTAGCATATGAACTACATGGCTGGCTGTACTTCATGAAGAAATAAAGAAAATCTATCGGGCCAATTTTGGGAAGCACCCCGCGGAGTACCGATATTTGCGTTTCAAACTGAATGAGATTGTTAGTTTGGGCAGGCAAGAACCCTGAAAAGAAAGCCCAACCACTCTATTTGGCTTGGCTTGACTGCAGGAATCATCACCCAGACACCTGAAAAGAAAGTTACAACATTTTAGTCTGAACAATACAGCAGTAGAGGCAAAATGCTGAGATGTGTTTTTGTGCAAAATGCTCCAAAACACAAGAAATTTTAAATCAGGTTTAAGCTATGAAGAAGTGTTTCAATCTTTCCCATTTTTTGGGACTGACAATGTTCTGGTAGGATTAAAGAGCTGTGCAATTTTGAACAAAATCGATTGGGCCAACCATCAAACAAGCAATCGACTCCAAGTTGTAGATACTGACAAAACATTTCCTCCGTACAGCCTGTTTCGACCATTGTAAGGTCTCTTCAGTGAAGGTTTAAATAATGAATAGCATAGATATTCTCCGACTGGAATTCCGAACTTTTCCGTTTGAGAATTTTCCTTGAAATTTATCCTTGCGGGGGTTATTTTTCATCTAAATGTCCAGCTATTAACTGCAGAGGTGATTTCTTCTCTAGTTGATTTCTTTCCTGCTGTTATACCTCCATATTTAGGCACTTTTAACTCCGATACTGAGCCAATAAATATAATTAAAATAGAAGAACCGAGCTGGAAGGCTGTTGGTTTGCGCACTGGAGGTGTGTGAAAGCTAAGTCTCAGGTCATTGAATGTCACAGTAACATGTCAGTTTTGTGCCCTGTTATCGCACTTTCTGACTGCTAATTACCTTAATACAGTCTTGGATAGTTGCTTCATAACTCGTTTCCATGTGAGTTCTTCTATTTTAAGTATACCGTATTTACTCTAATAATATCCCAGGTCTCCAATAATATCCCAGTCTCCAATAATGACCCGGGGTGAGGGTGGTTTGAAATAATAAGAGCACAGTCTCTAATAGTAGCGTGGGTCACAATTGGAGTATGCAACAAGTATGTTGACTGCATATAAAACAGCAGTACAACATGCCAAGAACGTAATATTTGTAAGGAGGTTTCGGTCTACTGCTTCCTTCCTGGCGCCAATGCTATTGTGAACATCTGTTTTGACAATATTCCTGAGTTTAGGGTTGAAAAATCAGCCTTTATATGGTCAGTTTTATGCCTGTATAGACTGGAATTGGCTTGATAGCTGACAATTGAAAAAATAAGAGCCCAGTCTCCAATAATAGCCCAGTCTCTAATAGTAGCGAGGGTAGAGCTGTCACTGAAAAAATAAGAACCCCACGCTCTTATTAGAGAAAATACGGTATTTAGGCACCGTCAGTGTTTCCCTTTTTCCCATGCTTCATCTTCCCCTCTGAGGCTCTCACACATTTCACCATTTTTCTTCCTATATTTATGTATGAGACTTCCGTGATAAGTATCCACTTGCTTTTTGAGAATCCTTTTAAATAGATACAACAACAAAAATAGCTAGAACTAATTTGAAAGCACAGTTTTAAACACAGAATGAAATGAAGAAGCGCGATTCCGTGCTTAGAGGTAATAGGCGAGCTAAGTGCTAACACACGGAGAAAAGGTGCAAAATGACACTGCTACGCGCCATAAGAGTACTGCGGACATCATTGGCACAGTGGCCGCAAGTGTGGCTGTAACGTAACATGTGTTTTTTTCAATACCATGTATATGTACCATGGAGACAACAGCTGTGTGAATTCCGGCTATGCAAAGACAGCCCGGTATGGTGATGAGTGAGTTCACAGAGTGAATGTCCCAGGGGCCTCTCGCGCAAAAACTCATTAAACTGTCACCCTTATTTTCAGTATGCTGCATGACTGTATGATTGTACATGCATGTATTTTAGAGTGCTAGAACTGTTGCGCAAGTATCAATGATGTCTGCAGTACTCTTTATGGCGTGTAGCAGTGTCATCTGCACCTTTTTCAAATTAGTTCTAGCTATTCATCATTCTAAACCTTCACTGATGACACCATACTATGGTTGAAACAAGCTGCATGGAGGAAATATTTTGTCAGTACCTACAACTTGGAGTCGTTCTGCTTGTTTGATGGTCGGCCAGAGAGCACATGTGGTGATGGAGTTGGAATTTCATTATTGACAAGGCCGAAAGCTGGTGCTTACCTATTTATTTAAGAAGAGTATGTTCGTTTAAAAGTATAATTATTTTATCCACTTTGTTGCTCCAAAACAGGTGTGTAACAGTTTTGTTAGCTATAAACGGAACACTTGGCAAAAACAATCCGGTGCGAAATGCAACGACCATGTGGCTTGCACGAAGGATGACCGGTGCAGAGGCGGTGTTTGTTCTGGAACACCGTTGAACTGCTCTGCATGTGAAGTATGCAATGGAACCAGCTGCCAAACTAAGAGAGGGTCGTGCAGAATTCATCAACAGTGTTACCAGAATGGCCAGTTGAATCCAGATTCACCGCATTGTCAGGTTAGAATGGCATTGTTTCTTTCTTTCTTTAGTATTCCTTAAGATGCAATGACCTCTCCTCCTCTTCAAAAATTGGCATGGAGACAATAATCTGAAGAAGACTATTTTGGGCGTGAACAGTATCAACTGCACACTCATGACTATAGACACACATGTAAGCTAGGTCGGTAAGGGGTCGCCGCAAAGTTTTTTTGTTGTGCCTGAAACGAACATCATTCATTTGAGGGAGGGGGAGGGGTGCGAGTCAAAATCGCAAGTCGACCGACACGGTACGTATTCCTGTACATGCATGCGATTTTGTCATCCAGCATAGTAAGCTGCATTCATTTCAGAGGGAGGGAAGGGGCTCTGAGTACGAAATGAACGATATTCGTATCAGACACGACAAAAAAAACTTTGCGACAACCCCTAAAGTATTCCGAAAACTTTTTTAAAACTCCGATGTTGAGCCAATAACAGTTTGAAGCCGAAGTGTACCGTATTTCCCCGATTATAGGTCGCACTCGATTAAAAAAGTCGCACCCCCATTTCCAGGTGTGAGCCATATTGTTTTGATATATTGACTTCAGTAGTAAGTCATGCTCGATTGTAAGTCATGCTCGATTGTAAGTCATGCTCGATTGTAAGTCATGCTCGATTGTAAGTCATGCTCGATTGTAAGTCATGCTCGATTGTAAGTCATGCTCGATTGTAAGTCATGCTCGATTGTAAGTCATGCTCGATTGTAAGTCATGCTCGATTGTAAGTCATGCTCGATTGTAAGTCATGCTCGATTGTAAGTCATGCTCGATTGTAAGTCATGCTCGATTGTAAGTCATGCTCGATTGTAAGTCATGCTCGATTGTAAATCATGCTCGATTGTAAGTCATGCTCGATTGTAAGTCATGCTCGATTGTAAGTCATGCTCGATTGTAAGTCATGCTCGATTGTAAGTCATGCTCGATTGTAAGTCATGCTCGATTGTAAGTCATGCTCGATTGTAAGTCATGCTCGATTGTAAGTCATGCTCGATTGTAAGTCATGCTCGATTGTAAGTCATGCTCGATTGTAAGTCATGCTCGATTGTAAGTCATGCTCGATTGTAAGTCATGCTCGATTGTAAGTCATGCTCGATTGTAAGTCATGCTCGATTGTAAGTCATGCTCGATTGTAAGTCATGCTCGATTGTAAGTCATGCTCGATTGTAAATCGCACCCCCTTTTTCACCCTTGATTTTTAGTGTAAAAAGGTGCGACCAATAATCGGGAAAATACGGTAGTATTGTGTAAAGAGAAAGGACCTACAAGTTATGAGTATTGACTAATAGTCCACCAAGGTAACGAGATAATATACAGTCAGATAGTGCGACAAGGCACAAAACTGACAGGGATATTGAGACATTCGACGACCTGACGCCTAGCTTCAACACATCTACGAAGCGCAAACCGACAACCTTCCAACTTGGAAGGCTCAAGTGCGGAAAGTTCCAATGAGTGGAAGGTATGCGCCACAAAGATGTGCACCAGCTACATGTATGTCTATCGGCAAAAAAAGAATGTTGTTATCTTGGTGGACTGTCAGTCACAACTCATAACTTATAGGTCCTTTCTCTTTACTAATCGTTCCCTTATGATATTCCTCAGTTGGATTATATCAGAAAGTGGTGGGGAAGCATGAATAGCAATTCAACATTCACTCCACACAACAACGGATCACGATTGGTATTTTTTGGAGGGGTTTCATGTGCCCGAAATTTATTAGTCATTCGAATCAAATTTTGAAACATCTGAGAGCAAAGTGATACTGTTCCAAAGCAATGATCAGGGAACAAGGGAATAGTGATAAGGTGAGAAACATTTTGAAGTCGTGGGCCGCGGTCACCCTGGGCAACCCGGTGCCCGGTCACCTCTGGGGGCATTTTGCGATGACAACCCGGCGTCGTGTGTTTGCCTGAAGCTGCGGGCAGGCGATTGACCGCCAACCCCACATGCCTCCAATAAAGGGAGTGGTTGGCCGCGGACGCAGGGCCGTAACTTGAATGCAACTTAGGCACATGAACCCCGTGAAGCTTCGAACTGCTCTCTACGCTAGCTCTGTCTGCTGATAAGCTGGCATGCCTGACGGGACACGGACGTACGCCTTGTACACTGAGCTTGACCAGCGCCCTGCCGCTTGAATTTGCCACTCTGGGGCCTGTCGTTCGGCCATGGCCATAGCACCACCGATCCGCAGAGAATGGCTTAAAACGCCTGGGCCGAGAGCCCTCTTGAGAATAGCGTTCACGTCACTTAGGGTTAGGTGGCGCCCCTCGTGGAAGGCAAAGAATGGGGCACCTGTATCCGCCCACTCCCTAGCACTTATGTAGGCAGCGACTGAACGCACAGGGCAGGTTGCGGGATAGCTGCTTGCGTGCAGTAACACTGTGCCACCAGCGCCCAACTGTGCCGTCTTCGTTACCCCTAGGGTGATCGTGACCTTCTCCTCCGAGAGGGCGACATGGCTCCTCTGAAGAGTCCTGTGAGCATCCACCGTTGTTGGTGATGGCGCCGTGTACTCGCTCACACGCATGAGCCCGTGGAAAGCTGTGAGTACTGCTGCCCAGAGCATGGCCTTGTCTTGTGGTGCATAATGCGAGAACTCCAGAAAATCGCGGATAGCCTTGAGGTCGTTGGGTGTCACCGCACGTCTGGATGACCGAGGAACAGGCATTGGCCTGGACGTCAGCTTGTCACGGTCAATGTCCCTCAGCAAGGCCAGTCTCCTGGGTGCTCTGAGCAGATCCACTGGACCATCATTCAATACGAAGGGGGTGGCGGACGGCTGCTAGGTATACCCTGATTGTCTTACCAGACAGTGTTGCGGACAGTGACGTCATGAAGAGAACTATATCATTGACCGTCGGTGCCAGATGCCTGAAGCGGAGCTGCTGCGCAAACTGAACGTAGAACCTGACTCCAGGGCTGTAGGCCTGGCGTGTCCGGGGCGCCACTGATTGGGCCAGGAGCCTGCTGACTTGAGCGTCGAGTATCTCCCTCCTGGTGGTGGCTGGAGGCAAGTGATGTCGACTCCACCCATCTGCAATGTGGAGACACGGCAGCAGCACGCAAACACAGTGGATAATAAGCAAGCAGTTAAGCCAGAACGAAGAGTAAAACATGACCAAACATCGCATCGCTGTGCCCAGCTACAATGACTTTGAAGGCAAACTAACTGGTTGCTTGCGATAAGTATTTCTTTACCGAAGCATCCCGGTATTAATGCGCCGGTTTGGACGCGTTCGAGCATCCCGGTGCTCGCCTTACAATCAACAGCGTCCGTCGCCAGTTTGCGTATTTAGAGCATCCTGGTGCCAGCTCTACTAAATATGGGCATTTTAGGTATCCCTTTTGCTACCTGCCTATCCGCGTAGGCATCCCAGTGCCAGACTTATTATTACGTGTGACCCGGTGTCCGTCCAGGTGTTATAAGCATCAGACCAAAAAAAATAGAGATTCCGGGGCCCTCCCGCACCAAAATCGAGCCAAAGCCAATTTTTTTAACAGTTCATATACCGTAAAGTACCGTTGATCCGCCCCCCCCACGCCATGTCGCTTCCCAGCTGGGTTTTCGGCAGGGGGCGGGAATTAGTTCAAGGCTGTCAAGTGCAGTACTGTAGCGGGCCCGGAGGCAAAACAACCTAACAACTAGAAACTAACTTTAATAACAATTCTCTCTCTCTCTAGAACGGCAAAACTGTCTCTAGCAGTAAAACTCTGAACTCATTGTGAAAGATAAAATAAACGCAATTTATGGAAAATATTCACAAACAGCAACGTACTGTCATGCGACCGTTTTATGGTAGAACGAACGTCGTATTGAACAGTACACTGAGCGCATACGCAAATGCTGAGCTTGTAGCGTGACCAACGCGTGACCAACGCTACACCTCCCCTCTCAAAGACAATCACGTCCTCGTGATTAGTAGCGGGTTGGTGGTCGAAACATTTGGCGGTATGCATGGTCGCGTCGGGACAACCTCGACGAAAGAACATAGAGCGTCAACCGGGATATGTATGGCAAATAATATCGGAAATTATAACGTTTATAGAGTAGACAGAAGAAATGAACTGATAACAAATCATAAAAATAGAAGCACACCGGGGTCAAACTATCTCACGGGTTCAAAAGGGAAACCTCATTACACTCCCTGTAAAACGCTGGCGCAACCCGCCAGGAAAACCGCAGTTCAGAACTGAACTGAATACACTATATTATATATTAACATCGTCCCAGATAAATTAGATAGACCGTGGTTCACCATGATCAGACGCCTACAAAACTCAACTGAATTCACACGCTCGCGTAAAGGAAGACTGAAGAGAACAGGAAGACTGAAGGGAGACGGAAAAGAAAATGCCATATCTGGAATTAGCTTACACTGGCAATGTACATGGAGCTCCATCCTTTGAGACGCTAGCGCTATCTGTCATGGAGCCCAATCCCTAGAGACACGCTGGCTGCCATCATGACTGGCTAGTTGTGGCGGGCGACAGGAGCAGCGGAGCTGGGGCAGCAGCGGGTGACGGCGGGTGCTCCTTCAGATACACTAACGTGAGCCCTCAGCGAAACGTTGATGAAAACTAAAACTAAAATTGACGGCTGTCACAAATGTGTAGCGGCCATTACGTTGGAAAACATGCAACTAGAACAAAACTTTACCGCTGCCACCAATTTTGTGGCGGGCCTGGAGGCAAAACAACCTAACAACTCGAAACTAACTTTATTAACAATTCTCTCTCTCTCTCTCTCTCTAGAACAGCAAAACTGTCTCTAGCACTGAGTAAAACTCTGAACTCATTGTGAAATTTGAAGAAGGGCTGAGGCTTCCTGCAGCTTCATCTGTGAAAAGAAGTCGGGTGGACACACCCATTCCCATAGCGCTGCACATCACATCCGAACCAGTTCCGTTATTTTTACAACGTTTCGGCACTTGGCCATCGTCAGGTAATAACAATGAATACCGTGGAAGCCACACAAGAGCAGTATATACGCAGAGTGTAGCGCCAAAAAAGATGCGAATTATGTCACCTAGTATGCAGAAGGGGGGGGGGGGACAGACAGAGAGAGAGAAAAGGCGCAACTAGCACATCACGGAGGAGAAGCAGCAGAAGGTAGCGCGCATTGTGCTCTTTGAATGGCGTTACGCAGAGTGTAGCGCCAAAAAATAAAATGATGCGAGTTATGTCACCTCTATACAGAGGGGGGGGGAGAGAAGGTGCAACTGTGCACATCACGGAGAAGAAGAGCGCGCCGTTGTGCTCTACGAAGTGAGGGTACATGCCAAATAATTATGGTGTTAATTCTAGCACAGGAGGGGAGCACGGAGCCCCATGTGTCAATGCACTATGAGGTTAAACTTCCATGCCAAACTGTTACCACCAGGGACGCGACGAGGCATCAGGAACAGAATGGATTTGAGTGACCCGCCTCGTATTATAATTATTCAGTGATATTGAAGTAGCAGCAGGGGAAGCTGAGAAAATTCACAACAAATCCCATCCGGTGCTTATGTTCACATGGGGGCTTGGCATCACGAATCTCAATCGCGTCGCGCAGTTTGCGACGGGCTCGATCAGGCTCTCTTCCTATTACTTCAACTGCAGAGAATGCACTTTGCCCATAGTTAAGCTTGCATCCAGGGTGAGTGGTACGAAAATGTTGGCCCCATGGCTTGTCGAGTTCCTGTCGTCTTGCCTCACCATTATGTTCTTCCCGGCGAGTTTCCAGGAAGCGGCCAGTCTCACCAACATATTGTTCCGGACATTCTTTGCACTTCAGCTGATATACAACATTCTTCTGCATACATACATCCTGTCCCCCGGATATACACGAGATACACGGCCCCTTTGGGCGACCTCTCTTTTTCGGTTGTAGCGGATTTGCAGCCTTGACACATAGAGGAGGAATGAGGGCGGAGCGACACAATGTGCGCCTCATGCTACCAGTGTGCTCATATACGACTCTAACCGGAATTTTATACTTTCTGATTGCTTTATTCACTTTTTGATGTACTTTATCTGACTTATATGGAAGCTTTAGAAATGCGCAGCATGGGTTGGCATGGCGACGGCGCTTTGGCCTTAGGGAGGCAGTGTGTGCCTCTTCAATGATTCTCTCTGGGTAATTGTTCAATCTTAATTGTTCATGAACCCTCACTTCACTTTCTGCACGCATTCTGGTATTCGATGAGAGCCTCTGAGCTCTTAGGAATTGTGACGAAGCAACTGCCAATTTGATATGGTGGGGAACTGCCGAAATATAACTTGCCTTCTGGTACAGCTTGTATGCCAGCTTGCCTTCCTGGATCATAATTGTGATATCCATATGATTTATGGAGCCACTCACCTCGCTGAGCTCATATGTGAAGTTGATACTTGGGTGTGCAGAGTTGAAATGCTGCACAAACCGCATCAAGCTCTCTCTGCCGTGGGTCCATAGCAGCAGGATATCGTCGATGTAGCGTTTGTAGAGGAGCGGTACTAACGGAGAATTCTGCAGAAGCCTGGCCTCAACCGTATGCATGAATAGAATCGCAAATGGGGGTGCAAGATTGTTACCCATTGCAACCCTGTCCACTTGGTGATAGATCTGATGGCCGAATCTGAAATAGTTGTGGCTGAGAACAAACAGCAGCAGATTCCGTACCCCGCTCACACTCAGCCCAAACATGTCTATCCGCTGGGAATACTGCTGCAGCATATCCACCACTGCCTGAATGCCCTCCCGAATAGGTATGCTCGGATATAACCCGACTACATCCATGGACATAACAATGGTGCCATCGGGGGCGTTCAATCCCGGACATGCGTCACAGATGTGGGTTATTGCTTCCGTCGTGTTAGCCAGGTGGGCCGGGACAAATTGAATGAGCTGCTGTAGGATGCGCTCCAATACAATAGATACTCCAGTCGTTGGGCTGTCGCACGCTGCTACCACGTGTCACAATGGTAAGTTCTGCTTATGGTCCTTTGGAAGACCGTACGACTCGGGGAACTTCGTACTGCTTGGTAGGATTGACTTTAGGAGTTTTGAATCCATGTTCTTGCACTCTGAAAGTATTACTTCTCGTGTCTTGGTCTCGTAGGACTCTATGGTCAAATCTACTTTCTCATACATGGTCATGTTCGATATGTCTTCTGCTTTCTACACACACCCTCTAAGTAGTAGTAGGATTTTCATTTTGACCCGACGAGACCATACGACGCTTGCAGATCACAGCACGAACAGTTCACCAGCCACACTCCACGAAAGCAAGTAGTAGTACTCCTGACAAGTCTTGTTTCGTTCCATAGAGATAATAACGGGGAACTCATCAGAGTGAATGAAGGGGTTTAGCTGAATAATGCTATTTTATAGAAAAGATATTGGCGCACTGAGGTGTAAACACTCAACTAACTCACATATGTGACATATCAACACAAAAGGAATAGTGCAGAATGGAGGTGTTCTGAACCCTACCAGACACAACTATCACAAGTGCTAAATCATTCACAATGAGAAGGAGAGGTACACAGGAATAGGTTGCGCTAGTTTACACGTCACAAATGTTACTGAGGTAGTGACAAAGATAGGTGAAAAGTAGACGCCAAGTGAAAGCCAACAAATCATCACGAACGTCTAACGTCACATCTGAAGATTGCTAGCGGCACAAGACAAATACTTCACAAACC